TTACTAAACATTCGAACTTGCCCAGCCTAGTTTGAAATGCTGTTTTCCATTCATCTCCCTCTTTAATTCTGAGTCGATAAAAGGCTGCGCCGACATCAACTTTCGAGAACCAGCGTGCCGTGGGGATAAATTGAAAAGTTTCTTTGATTAGAGGAAGTGTTACGGTTTGGCCGTGGTTTAGCTTAGGTGGAGACCTAAGCGTAAATTGGGGGCGTATTAGGGAGAGTGTTTCATGTTATCTTGTTGTCGAATAGTAGGACACAAGTTTTATTTGGATGTGCATTAAACAAAGATGCTGGAGTTTGGGTGGTAATAATGATTATGAAGATGTAATAACAAATGGGTAATAATTAGTAATAGCTGTGTAAGCATACATCATGTGACGAGTGTTAAAGGTCACTACGGCCCTCGCGCTACGTCACAAATGAAGATAGATCCGAATGAATGAAAAAATTTTTATTGAGTTACCTCGAACAAAGAATCCATAGGAAATATTCCGACACTTGTATCAAGCGACTAACTTTCACTTGGCCACATTACATTGGAGCTAGGGAGGAATGTGAGACGGCGAAGTAGAATTAACAAGTGAGAGAGTCAAGCTAGATGGCAAAGACAACTACGGGCAGTGGCGGAGCAGTATGACATGCTTACCAACGGAGTACGTACTGGATGAGCTAGAAGGATGTACAAATAGTCATTACCCGTAGTTGTGGTACTTCTCTCTTCATATAGTTTAATATTTCTAAAAGTACACTACAACCAGCTTGGTTTTGTCACAGGAAGGGGGTACCTGTCTTTTTTAGTAATTGCGTTTATGGACCGATAGTTAACACAGAATTGTAATCCTCCGCCGGGTTTCTTTACAAACAGGACTGGAGCTCCTTCTGACGAGCTTCTAGCCCTGATCCAGTTACGATCGAGAAGCTGGGTTATTTCCTTTCTGAGAAATAGTAGCTCATCCCGTGATATACCATATAAGGGACCTCGCGGAAGATACTTAGCTCACCCATACTCATCCTTTTCGATTTCAATAGTCAGGTCTACGCCTTTTCGAAGAGGCGGTAGACCAGTTTCGTCATTTTTATCAGCTTCAAATATTGAAGAACGGTGGCGTAGCTGTTCCGGGAGTTTAGCTTCTATTTCTCGTCGAGAAAATTGTCCTTTAGGTGCCAGCATTTTATAAATGTCATTGACTGTGTGACGGCTGTTAAGCCAAAAGACTCCTGTAGCCTACGCTGGCTAGCGCAGGCTATGACACAAGGGGAATATTCGGGGAAGGTCTCGGAAGCCACAGAACTTCGAATAATCTCAGTGAACCTTCTGGAAACACACTGAAGGTTCATGAAGATAACAGGTGTACCGAGAACCTTCTAGGTAGCTGTAGAAGAGTCTCAATAATTCAGGTCATAGGGAGAATCATCTTGAATAGCAGTAATTTAGAATGTATATATATGTAGTCTTTAAATTGAGGAATTCTCTCTCCAGTGAATTATAATTAATATACTGTACTTTCAAGATCGCCCAAGCATTTTGTACTGAAACCGTGACAGACTGATGTTATATACACCAATATAGTTTTCATGTCTTCTTCGAGTCCCTGCTATTTCTTTGCTCTCCTTAAGAAAGCTGATATTGCTGTAGGTCAAATCATTTTAACCTGAACTGTGGGAGCGGCCGAACTATTGGTGCGAATGATGTGCTTTTCTTTTTCTAGGAGTAACACTTTATCTCGAGCTCTGTAGACGACAATGTTGTACCTCATCCATGGCTCTCCGGGAACAATATCATGCGCTAGTCCACGAATAACATACTCACAAATAGTACTGCGCTTCCCATCTAAGTCGACATCTGCCCAGCAGATTTCGTCTACTATAAATTCCACATATTTATCAGAATCTTTTGCGAGTTTTTGCTCTCTAGGAGGAACTTTTTGGCGCGGAAGGTTGAGACGTGTTGCAATAGAATCACTTAGAACAGAATAAATTGTGCAGCCTAAATGGACTAATGCAGGAATACATGTAGAATTAATTATTGCATTATTTAAAGCTGGTTTGCCATGTAATTTGTCAATTATATCGTGTATTTTATGTTCATCCATTTGATGATCCTTCTTTAACCCCTTTCTCTCCAGTCGCGACTGTGACTGGAGGTTAATCTTTTCCCGACTGTGACGAAAAGCGAGTTGGTGATGAATAAATCGATTTATTAAACTATATGAGGAGAAAGGAGAACTCTAGCTACAACTGACAGGTATTTATAAAAATTGGTCCCCTTCGTCAATCTCCAGACTGATGACTTATCCTTAGGCACAATACTTGCTACCCAGCCACACATTGCCAGATGTTACTTAGTTGTAGTAACGCTTCGGCCTCCTGACTAGTAGTGCCGTCTTGTTCAGCTTCATCTATCCCTCCCCATGCAGCCTTGTCGTAAAAATTCTCAACAATACGCTTTGGTATTCACCTAAGCTCAAACAACGGTCAAATCGTAATACCGATATATCCTGCTCCAAGAAATAACTCAGCTCTTGCATGTTATTAATTTCTGTGGGCCGTTTAGGGTATCCAAACTTCCTGCAGAATCGCGAAATGTGTCCGGGTTTTTCACATTAAATACTCATTTCTTTCACGAAGGGTATCGAGCTCTTTTTCACTTCGTTAAGGTGCGGGTGGTTTTGGCTCCAGGGTTTTACTCCCATTCCGCTTGCCATTTGGTTTTGTGTTCAAAGATGTGATTAAGACGGTTAACTCATTCAAATCGACCTTCATACTGTCATGGGCTAGAGCCCAGCACAACTTAGGCGTGAGCCTAAGGTATTTGAAAATTGAAGGATTAGTATGAGATAGGGCTGAAGGATGATGGGAGATCCAAACATCCTGCATCATAATGGTTGAATGGTCGCATGGTTTCGTGATGAAGGAGCTAGCTCGAGCAGATTGCAGAGAAGCCGAGCAGCTAGGCACCTGGGCAGGAGATTTCCCCCACATCCTGTTCTTCATATAATTCACTTTATTTTCATAACTCAAAACCTTAGCATAAAGCCAGATTATTCATTTAGTGGGGTACTCCAGTTAATTTCCTCCCCAGTTTAAGATTCTCTTTTGTACCTAGATCTAGATAGTTCGTGAATAATATCTATCTTACGACCCTTACACATACCATCCATTACTATATCCCCTTGGTGGTCTATCCTGGATGCTGGTATGAAAGGCAGCGCTATATCTGCGAAATTTGGCCTTGATTGGGCAGTCTCACTCTGAGCAATCTTGTTCCGGGTAGTGTATTGAGTAATTTGGGATTTGCCCTTACGAACAAAATTATCCGGCATTTCGATATTTGAGGCTACTTCGGCCACGTCCTCGACCCAGGCATGGTAATTGTCTTTGGGCATCTTTAAGGCGTCGATCTTGTCAAGAAGCTTCTCACTGATCGATCGGCGAAGCTGATTGAGTTTAAGTCTATCTGGCCAATTGTGGCCTCCAGCGTATTCGAATTGAAGCTCCCACTCTTGTAGGAAATTTCCGAAAATTTGGGCTTCACCTTTTTTCATTGAGTGTAGCTGAAGTTCAGCCATTTCAGCACCGATCTTGTCAATGTATGCCTCTATACACTTTCCTAAGAATTCCCTCCAGTTGTAACTCATTGTATGGGTTCCATACTTTATCCAGTGACTTCGAATTCGCTGACGCTGTGGTTCCGGAATACTTTCGTAAATCTTCATACAAATTGCGATCTCTGTGACTAGAAATGGTGCGTATACCTCGCATTGGGCCTGAAATAGCTGATGATGAGTAGGCCACGTAAGGGCCGCTCCATCCCACCTGCCAAAATTGACATCCCTTATCATTTGGTTGCTTGAGGATTCTTGGGTAGAACGGAACTGAGATGAGTCGTTCATTAGGCTGTTGGGTGACAAGTTATCAAGAATTTCTTCGGTATTGTAAAATTCACCTTCAGAGGATGAGCTGGGGTGAGCTGGAGTTGATTCTGAATCAGACGGAGCACATATCTTCATGCGTTTGATAAAGGGTTAGTTTAGAGAGTGAGATTTCATTAATTTGTCGCCGGATCAATTGGTGTTGGTATACAGCAGAGCAAGTCCAGAATAAATCAGTTAATTAATGAAATCTAGAGAAAGAAGATTTCCCACTTCTCGATGTATACATAGGGAATTGTAATTATCAGCGCCGGTCATAACGATCTATGTTGCTAAGCAACCACATCTAGACCGCAACACAGGTAGCCTCCGTAGCTAGCTAGGCCCTATATTCCATCCCTGCCGTACTGGCGCAGACAGTACAAACCCGAATGATTAATCTGGTAACAGAGGGTGGGATTTCTTGATAAAGAGTGTGTTCCATCGAGGAGGAATGCGAACAAGTTTTTATAGGCTCCGTATTGGGCCTCTAATGAGGTTCGAGGTTCTATAATCCCAATCGGGAAGATATGAGTTAGGTCTCTGAGGGCTTCGGCAACCATCTCGTTGGTCATTTCAACTGGGAAGATTGATACCCCATCAAATCATTGGTAAGAGCGTTGGACGCCGCTGATGAGGTATGCTACTCGATTCGTCTGTTTTTCCTTTTTTCAGTGGCTCTCACTCTATGGAAAGTCGCCAATATTATTTATACGAGTAGCGAGGGATTCTTTGGCGACAAGGGATACAGAGCAGATCAAAAAACTGCTCTTTATTGTCTAAACTTCAAGAACTAATTTCTCTTGAAAGAAAAGGTTGAATTGTTGCATGTTCGCGTAGGACGATAAGCTAAGTTAGACATGACCTGGAGCAACTCTAATGAGTAGTCAGTTATCGGCAGTAACTCTAAGATTGGATGAGATGGAAGTAGCTTCTTGTGTCTTGGGGAGATTCCGTTTATTAGCAACGGCTGTCTTTTACCTCTGATTGGGTGCTAGCGGGGACTAAACTAGGGCCACGGAAGTTGAAGGGCAATTCGGAGGTGTCACCATTAGGGCAGTAGTGATGACTTGCTTTTTCGGGGCTACTGAAGCTGCTTTGGCCCTGAGTATGGGTTGTAAGAGCGTGTTGAGCCTCTAACGTGACTGTCGACATGGCGGCGAGCAACGCTTGTAAAGTCCAGGATAAATCCACAGAAGGGTTTCAGGAAATTTTGTGGGAGATATTCTGCATCAACTGCATCATCATCAAGGATACAGGCAATGTTTTGAGATTTCAGGATAGCTTCCTGGTTCCTTCTATCTGTTGCGGAGGTTGTTGAAAATAGTATTTCTGTCAATAACCCCTCCTCGCCTTTTAGGACAGAATTGAGTATCCGGGGGGGGGGGCTGGAAGGATTCTTTTTTTTTTAAATCATTTAATGTGTATTCGGCTATCTAGCTATGACAGATGACCGGTGCTATGTATACATGTTGGAAGACCCTTTTGACTTTAGAGACGCTCATACTCTGGATTTCATTTGCAAATGCTACTATGAGGTATGTTCGCTTACACAAACAGTCGACCCTCCTCCGTTAGTACCCACCAAAGGGAATTTAAAAACCTTTGATTATCCAAGCATGCCTTCGTCATCCATGTATACCAGCACCACGAGAAATGTGGTTGTGTTTTGCCGGATTTGAACCAGCGATCTAATGTCTCAAGTGGGATATGTGTCCAAGCTATCCAGACTCTACTTGGTAGACCGGCCAAGACGATGTACTACCGCACCATCCAACCATGGCGATGTTTATGATGCCGCCTGCAATCTCGCAACCGAAGACTTGGCACGCACAAAGCTCAATTTGTAAAAATCCTTGCCAAAATTCTAAATTCCACGCCCGTCGAGACTGTATCCATCCTTTGCATCATCTTATGAACTTTTCCTGAATCCTCTCATGTCCATCCCAAAGAACCGTCTCCCAGATTTGTGCGCCGCGCTTTGTTTCCTCCGTCGGGTATAAACATCGGCGTGGGCGTTTATTTGGTGACCGGCTGAAGCTAAAGAAAGTCGACGATAGGCATAATCATTGAGATGAGGATGTACTAGGTCGTACTTGTAGACTTAATGAGGCTTAGGTAGGAATCGATCTCGTTGGGAGTGAAAATTTGACGTAGTGGAGTAGTTTGAATCATTGCCTCGTGGGTGAACTTGTTCGGTATTGCGAAATTTGACTGAACTTGGCTCTGGGAGAATATTTCACTCCCAGGTTTGTAGAGGACACCGCGTACAGGTGTTCAGTCTTGCCCTCCGCTGGGAGGATTCGTACGGGTTAGATAGACAAAAATTTGTCTATGAGTAAAAATCCACTTGCGAAAACTAAGCTAGTCAGGCCACATGACCTTCGTATCAGTTTATAGATTTCATCTGTGGCAGGCAGAGCTCTCGTTTGCTTCTGTCTTAAATCACGTAGATTTGTATTCTCTACTAGATAAACCGAAAGTGACTCAGCGGGAGATCTCGCTTTTCTGCAACGTACAAGTAGAGTAAGACGCTAGCAAGTCGGTTAGCTTTCTGCAGAGTATTATGATATGAGGCAACAAAGTATTCGAGGCTAGGGCATCGCGTGTGACTAAAGGCCGCAGTATATATCACTAACGTATTGGTTGGGCGAGCATGCATACAATTTCATAGATGAACCCACCGTAAATGTATACAGGTTTAGTCTTACACTTTCTGTTCATATACCTAGTGTTTAGTATTGCTTGAGTCTATTCACTGTCACCGACAAAACACAAGATCATCCGTGAACACCCACCCAGGGCACCGTCTCAAAAACCCAGAGTTATCCAGACATGCCTACATTATCCATCGATTTTATGCGCGCCAAATATGGTCTTAGTTGTGTCCTTCCCAAGTGGAGTAGGTGCCCATCCTACTCAAACAACACCGGAGATCACCAGGAAGCGAACCGTGGCACTTTTTATCGTGTGCCAGTGATGAGGTGGTGGTATTGTGAATGAGTGAAAAAGGCATGCTTGGATAATTAAAGAGAGTAAAATTTCTCTCTAGCAGGCACTACCAGAGAAGGGTAGACTTTTTTTTTTAATTCATTTTGTATTCAGCTATTTAGCTATGACAATTTATCTAACATTAACACTAAGTAATCAAACTCCCCTAAATAATCTTTCCCATCATTGTTGTTCCATATATGAAGGGTAGACTGTTCTGCGTGAGAAAACATACCTCACACTGCTGTATGCAGATAAGACAGAGATTATGAGTGTCTTTCATTTCAAAGACATCCAATATGTATACTTAGCACTTATCATATTTTCAGCTAGATAGGTGAATACATTTCGAATGAAAAATTTGGTCCCTATCAACGATATTTCCAACATATCATCGTAGAGCGTGATAGATTCGGAGGGCAGGTATCATCTAGCATCTTTGATGATGTTTATGACTTTTAGGTTGCTGAAGTAGGTGTTGAGATGCTGGCGAGGGTCGCTAGATGAGTTGAACTGAGAAAGGTCCCTCAGTGAGAATCGAAGTGTTGAAGGCAGTCAGTTGTTGTGATAAGTACACGTCAGACAGGCTTGATACTTTCTACGGTTCATACTTGGGGTGTAGATGATTAATATTGTTTTGGTGTGCAGTACTGATATATCTGAAAGTTGGGGTTTCGTCCATGTACGGGTCAGCCCAAGCCCTCCGTACCGCTAGCTAGTGTGAAGCTGAGATTCGCCCTCTTTCCTGATTATTTATAGGCTATGAGTGGATATTCCACGCTCAGGTTGATAGGGAACATCATAATCAAGCACCTAAACTTCATACCTCTAGTTGTACAATATAACTTATCTTTGTTAACATGGAGCGTAGAACACGAAGCGTCAGAGTTTGTTTTGTTTTGTTCATTAACGTGCTAGGTTACATGACTACCGTTGCACTCCTATTGGAGCTTAAGCACGAGTGGGGTTGGGCCGGATCAGGTTAACTACCGTGAAGTATAGATAAATCTCGTCCCACTTTAATGACCGGACTACCTCAGACTTCACCCATGTCTTGAATCATACCAAGCCTAACCGTCCAGAAACCCGCTGTATACACGCCGTAGCGCAATTTCCTCCTCAGCCTCGGCCACTACGCTCCCGAGCCCTTGATATCCTCATTGACTCCGAAATATGAATACCGTCAAAGATCTCATCGTTGCTCTAGCCTTGCACCTTCATATCGTACCGTTGGGTTGTTTTCGTCATTGGGTATTTGTGTGATCCCATCGGTGTATCTTCCCTTTTCTTCCTCCTTTTTACACGTCCTATTTCCATCATGACTTTCCTCAATAGGGCGTGTGTAGGTAGGTGATCGAACGAGTATAGAAGTGGGTCGCAGGTATAGGATCGACTGAGAAATGCTTCGTCGGAAATATAAAAGGAATTTGAGAGATGTCGGATGTTTGAATACGACTCCCAGACAGATCTAGGCTCATTCGTGAATCGTATGTTGGTGGTAATGACTTTTTGTTCAACTTTGTTCCGGCTGTGAAATCTCTACCGACTGATTTTTCGACCAAAATATCGAGTGCAACTCCTTCAAGTCGAAAATCCATCAAAAAAAAATTCGTCCCACCCTTTTTCGTGACTGAATCTCGGCTCTGGGAGAATGTTTCGCTCCCAGGTTCGTAGAGGGCACCACTGACAGGTGTTCAGCCTTCGCCTTCCGAAGCGTCAGAGTTGATGGGCGTTGTGTGTCGTGCAAGGATCAAGGGTCAAGGAATATGTCGGGGCTTTGTAGAAAATTTGACGAGATCTGCATTCGAATGCGCAAGGAGAGTCATGGCTTCGAAACCAACATTTGCAAAATAGTGCATGTACGAGGCAGGGCACCAATCCCGAATTCGCCGGAATTAAAGTTGCCCCTAGGATGATATCCATCAGTAAAGGGCCTGTCCGAATGAGGGTTCTCATCAACTAACATGACAATTAGAGGTTCCATGCTCATCAGCGAACATCGGCCCTGGATTTGATGTTATCGGCCTAGCACTTTCCATTTGGCTTGAAATCCAGGTCGAAGTTACTCCTGAAGCACCATCCTCTTCACCTCCACCGCCACTCGACTGTTTGGTAACCTATGAGGGCGAAGGAGCAGGAAATATTCCTTTAACCGCCGATGCAAACCTAATCACTCGAACAGCACTATACGTTCTACGGTGTCACGGGCAAAGATCATTTCCCGTTGGTACTAAAGTCCACATCAAGAACCAAATACCACTTGGACGAGGACTAGGATCCTCCGGGGCGGCAGTGGTAGCCGGGGTAGTACTAGGCAATGAAGTAGGAAAGTTAGGATTGACCAAGGCGCGGATGTTAGATTACTGCCTTATGATCGGTAGGTTCACTATCTCGACTCAGAGCCATCAAGTCTTCTAACCAATACAGAGCGCCATCCAGATAATGTAGCCGCAGCACTCTACGGAGGTTTCGTAGGAACCTACCTGAATGATCTCTCTCCCGCCGACATTTCTCGCAAAGAGATTCCTCTTTCCGAGGTACTCCCAGCTCCTGCTGGGGGTATTGATACGGGTATAAAGCCATCTGAGCCTCCACTAAATATCGGTAATTGCATGAAGTTTGCATGGGCAACAGAACTCAAAGCTATTGTTATAATCCCCAACTTTGAAGTCGCTACCGCCGAGGCTAGACGAGTGCTTCCTCCCCAATATTCACGAGCAGACGTTGTCTTTAACCTACAGAGGATAGCACTCTTGCCGAGTGCTCTGGGGAAGAGTCCGCCAGACGCTGAGCAGATTTATTTAGCTATGCAAGACAAGGTGCATCAGCCATACAGAAAAGAGCTGATTCCTGGTTTACCGGAAATATTAGCAAGTGTAACTCCAAAAAGCTATCCTGGGCTATGTGGGATATGTTTGAGTGGAGCGGGGCCTACGATTCTAGCACTCGCAACCGAGAACTTTGAAGCAATCGCGAGGGCAATACTTCTCATATTTGAGAAACAAGGAATTAAGTGTGAGTGGAGGAACCTTGAGCCAGCTACTGACGGCACAACTGTAGTGCATAGCTAAGAGAGGATGCAAATAATTTGTCTTTGCTCACAGTCGTTTCAATACCCTTCTGAAACCAGTCAGTCATACTTCATGTGACGCATTTGGTATCGTAATTTTGAAAATTTTAGATCCCAATCCGAAAAAAAGGTAATTACATGAACGCCGCCAATTTTTTAGAGAGAATTAAAGGATCGCCACCACGGCCATTATCTGAGTGAAACCGTAAGTGAAGTTTTTGAGGTTGGCGCCAACGAAAGACAACATAATAAATGCCATTAAATTATAACTTTGACCAAATATGCTGAAAAGATGCCATCGTATCTAGCCTAATCCACCCCATGCGCCTCGGATTCTCCGCGCAAGTTGAATATCTTTTTGCATGATGGTGACCCGCTTGGCATGGATAGCACAAAGGTTTGTATCTTCGAATAGATGGACAAGAAAGGCCTCCGCGGCTTCTTGGAGGGCTTGTATAGCCTGTGATTGCCAGCGCCAACCCTCTGAGGCGGGACGTACCTGCAGGGCCACATCTCGGACCTAACTCTGAGTTAGGAATTTTCATATAAATAAATGAGAGAGGCATACCAGACGAGAGAAGGGAAGTTTTGATAGTAATAGATCGGTTGATCGCTGGTACCTTCGAATTTCCTTGAGAGCAGCGGTGCCTGGTCTGTATCGTCGCTTTCGCTCGCGAGGTAGCGGATCCCCAGCTTTGTGCTTGATTAGTATTCTCCTCTTCTAGGATCGGGAGTGAGTTCATGTGCATTATGGAGCTTACGTTGAATGGCGGTTACCGCACTCATGTGCGTTCTCTTAGGCCCCATGATTTATTGCCTGTTCATCCGCAGTTCAAGTGACGTAGATCTGATATCGGCGTGACAGTTGGAATTGGCGTTGCGCGTATGACGGGGGTGACGCGTCGTTGCCGGGCCCGAGATCATGACGGACCTGGAAATGCAGAATGCCCGTGAGTGAGCAGAATCCACAGTGCCTTTGGGGGAGGCTATCGAACGAGAGAGCCGCGGCTGCTCTGCAAGCTAACCCTTTCGGGAATAGTGTGCACTTTCGGAATCAGTGCGATTATGAGCCCGGATAAGTACGGGTATGGTTTCCCGCGACCGTCGACGTTGGCAGTGTGGAAATGAGAGGGGAGGGTGGAGAATGCAAGATGGAAGGTAACTTCCTGCACCTGAATCAGAAATTTGTCATGTCCTTTCCGCCCGCAATAAATCTTACACTTTGACATAATCCACAAACGTTTCTTGAATCAGACTCCCCGGCTCACCGCGGCCGCTCAGCTTATTAATCATATCCAAAGATAAACGAGGTCTTAGTTCTCGATACATGCCGTATCTATCTGCTCACTAAATCATCCTCCATCGACCCCAAAGATATTCAGCAATCAAAAGGCGTCACAGGTAGCAACTCTACGTTTATGAAATTTCTTACCTCAAAAAATATTTTTACCCTTCATCGTAGGCTATAAAAGCATATCATGGATCAGATGATGGGGGCTGGTGATGGAGGTATGGGGGGCCAGGCTGGATTTCCTCTGGAAAACTGGTTTTGGGAGATGCCACTCTGCACGAGATGGTATGGATATATCACTATAGCGAAATGATGGACTAAGCCTGCGCTAATCATGTGTAATAGGTGGACAACAGCAACAGTTCTTACCAGCGTACTTGTTCAGTGTCAGATTATCACGCCATTCCAGCTCTTTTATAGCTTTCGTACCGTATTTTACAAGGCACAGGTCAGTGCTTATTTAACTCTTTACTTCATCTCAATCTGACTCTATCAAGTTCTGGCGGCTTTTGACGACCTTCCTATACTTTGGACCTTTATCTCTAGATCTTGTATTCCACATCTTCTTCCTCACGCGCTATTCGCGGCTATTAGAGGAGTCTAGCGGGCGATCTCCGGCTCATTTTTCGTGGCTTCTGCTATACTCAACAACATTCTTAATCCTTATATCGCCTCTGGTATCAATGCCTTTTCTGGGTCAGCCGCTCTCATCGACATTTGTGTATATTTGGTCGAGACGAAACCCTGAGACCCGTCTATCTTTTCTTGGTCTTCTCGTATTTACCGCGCCATACCTCCCATGGGTCTTGATGGGATTTAGTCTCGTGGTGCATGGAACGATTCCCAAAGATGAACTGATGGGCGTGGTCATCGGCCATATTTGGTACTTTTACAATGATGTTTATCCACCCCTTCACAACGGAAGTAAACCCTTTGATCCTCCTATATGGTGGAGAAGAATCTTCGAAAGAAGACCTCAGCGAGAAGGAAGCATTGATGGGATTAATAATGAAATTGCTGTAGCCGCAGGGCCTGAAGTTCGATGAAAAGTTGATCGCAGATGAAATTGACCGTTATTTTTACATGTACTGCAAGGCGTACGGAGCGGGATTCATGATTTAGGCATCTTGGAAAGACAATAGCGCGAAAGGGTTGTCAATCGATATCGTGAAGCACCTATTCTACTCTAGGTATTTTCCAATATGGTGTACCGTCATCTTCTCTGTCATCCTTGACTTAGCACTTGTACTAGGCCGGGTGCATCTCCAAAGCGACTCCGGTTAGCCGCAATTACCTTAATCTTGAGTGTTTCTTTGGTATCATGTGGGGCTTGAAAAGCAGCACTAACGCCGATTTAAAGACCTCGCAACGACTCATTCGAAGGTATTTATCATAGATGAGCCAGCCGCAAATTCATGAATAAATTCCACAGGAGAGCCACGAGTCGATGATGTCAGTGACGTACGGTGTGCTTGCACTGCCTTGGATTCATTGACAAAGTGCTATACAAGTCTAGTATCACCAAGACGGCTGCTTTGTTGCCTACAATGTCACGCTAAGAGCCATACCAAAAAAGAATCAAAGTCTTTTTCAGGATAGATGCCTTGCAATGACTGCGAGGATACTCACCAACAGATACTCTGGGTAGATGTAGGATCTAGTGTAAGTGCGAAGAATCGTCATGGACAAGGATGCGCCCGAGTGTAAGGATGAGACTTGTGCGACTGATAGACTATCGGGTTCGGTAAAGTGTGACCAAAGGCAAGGTTGGAGATGAGACGCGTAGAAGTCGCGGAAATACTCAGGGGCAGGCTAAGTTGACGCGGTGGTTGTGAAAGGGGGGGGGGGGGGGGGGGGGGGGTAAAGACAATTGAGTCAGTTGAGAGCGGATGTTACCAAGTAAGGTGGATCACGCATTGCGGGCACGCCGGTCTTCGAAGAAAGCAGCCACTTGAGATGTTTATCACCCAATCCAACTCTTGAGAGCACTATACTGGCAGGAATTACAAGTCTTTAGTCTCACAAGTAGAGTTTGTATCGGCGTGAAGCTTTTATATCTGGGGCCAGGAATATTAGAGTTACAGAAGGCACCATTAAACAACTTTTTTGCCCCGTCATCTGTGCGCGCATGCATTATCAGTGGTGAAATGGACTCTAAGCGTGATGTTGAATTACTCATGGTAGTGAGGTCTATTTCTCGGGATTACTGCGGAGCTATTTATATAAAGCGTATTTGGTGCCCTGGTACAGGATTCTCAAGAAAAGTAAACGACAAGGAATGGTACGGCCAGAGTACGATTTCCAACATCCCCGGGCATCAAGAGTCGATGCTTAGGAGGGCAAGACTGAACACCTGTATGTCGTGCCTTCTGCGAACCTGGAGTGAAATTATCCACCAGAACCAAGTTTCCAAGATGATGCAGACGCTACATACTATGTTAACGGGTGTGAGATTTTGAGATTAGGCAAGAAATTTCACGAATTGAGCTTTGTGCCCGCCAAGACTTCTGCTGCGAGAGGATAGCTGACTCTGGAAACACAAGCCAACGATGGAAGGTGCCGTGGTCCGCTTCCTGGTGGTGTCCGCCGGTACAGTTTGAGTAGCCTTGGCACCTAATCCAGTTGAGAAGGAGATGCCTCTGACCACATTTGGCGCGCAGAAAAGTCAGTAGATGCCGGAGGCATTTCTGGAGAACTCAGGGTTTTTGCGACGTTTTCCTGGGTGGGTCTTCATGGACGAGGGCTGACTTGAGGTGAAGGAAAAGCCGCCATAACTTCGCAGTGGTACTTGCAAATGAAATCCGAGGCATGAGTGCTCAAGTTACAACTGAGTCATCTATTGTGCACTTTTCTTTGATATTGTGTCATGGCTAGATTGCTGCATTCGCAATTACAATCCAATGCGAAAAGGGAATCGATGCCTAGCTATTACTAATCCTTGACTCTCAACCATCAACGCTGCCAGCCCCACATACAAATACTCGCATCGGTTTCAAGAATGCTAAACCCCATGTCTCTCTTTACTTCCCCCACGAAACCGGACCCGATGCCATACTTGAGCCACATATGGCTTATGAGATAAATTCTACACACACACAAGTATCATCAGCTGTCGTTAAAGACCTTTCCTTGACATTTCAGCGGCGCCGGTGTAATTGTCCAGTAAGCTATGCATATGTAGGATAGCAAAGAAATGTCGCAAGCGATTCGAAGTCAAAATCAAGCACAGGCATACCTACAATCGACGACTTTTCATCAATGTTGGTCCTGAAGTTATCACGCGAGTCCTCCAATTTGACTTCATAAACATCCTCGCCTAATGGAACGATTGAGTCAGTGGCCCAATTACGAACGTGGCCTCACCTCATCAACTATCGGATATCTCCTATCAAAATATATTGCCACGTTTACCACAAAATATAAAAATAAATCATAGCATACAAAACTCGAGTTTTGGCACGTGGAAGATAGGCAGTTGAGACGTGGAATGAAAGAGGGAAGAGGTCACTAATGGGCACGATGGGGCAACTTTTTCGCGGAGTATTCGGAGTTCATTTTATCATGGGCGTCAGGACCGAGGTTTTGGCTAATTCACCAAGAGGACTTCTATTGCCGATGAGTCTTCGGCACTCTCTAGTCCTACGGACGGCACAAAGAATTTGGACTAAACTATTTCACAGCTAATACTTTCAGTCATTACCTTCCTGACATTCTAACCCGAAATTCGAGGAAGAGTTGGAAGGGGCTAGAAAGGCAGAAGGTGAATTTTCAGAGCTACCCGTAAGTCTGCAGCACCCGGCTATCCGGCCTCTTCAAAAACTTCAAAAGGGTAGCTTCTTCCTCGGACTTAGTCCTATTGTCGGTATTAAGAGAGCCTCGCAGCAAGTAGTTTTTGAAATTTCCCCCGGCTATCATACAATCGCAAATGGACATCATTTCGTTGAATTGAGTAAAGAAAAAACGAAGGGTAAAAGGCTCCTGTAAGAGCATGATCGATCGAGCACTTATGAGGGATGATACTATATGAGGGGAGCGGTTTAGGAGGTATAGGAGGGGAAATACTACTGGCACAGGTATCTTTAGCCTGAAAGTAGAGAAGACCTGCACGTCCTGTATAGTTATAGACTGAGAAAAGACAGTTATATTATAATTGTCGGTTGACTGTATACACATGTATGCTTACCTAAAGGGATACCTCAATTTTTCATTGTTATTCATGTTATTCATAGCTTTGCTTTATTAGTCACAGTCCTAAGCCAAAGCTCCAGGTCCACTACGGGTACAAGACTGGTGGAGCAGTCGGGGAACACTGCTCACAGGCTCAGCTCATTTCAACCGTGGGACCCGCTACAGACATAGTGGAAGGTAAATAAATCACTGAAGACACCACCAACTCCAACTACCGGATCAAAAGTCCCTCCTTTGACCCCTCAAATCCGAACAACCAAATTATTTCCTCAGAGAAATGACACTTGTCCCCTTCCCTTCCGTGTTATGCATAGCGGCAATGACTAGTTTATCCGATTCTCGCTAAGAGCAGTGAATGAGTTAGCAGATCGTTTATCAAAACGGTCGGGTTAACGCGCAAATTTTTTGAGGCGTTCGTAGCATCTGGGCCCGAGAAGCTTTTTGACAAAGTTAACGTGGAACATTGACTCTCTGAACCAGCGCGCGTGTTGTGCGTGGTGGCTACAGTGGATTGGAGTAGTTTCATTCCCGCGAATGCACTTCACAGGAACGTATGGATTGTTAAAACGGCGATGGTATGCCACAAAATTGCCGTGACCCGTTCGTGCTGCAATCAGTTCGCGGAGGAGGTGCCTAGAGAGAGAGAGTTCGGGTGGTTTGCGTCTCCGCACCTGAAGGTTAAGTTGGCGGTATTTAGGCGGGCCGGCCTCTTCCCACCAATTTTCGAGCAATCTCTGTCGTCTGCGATTCATGAGACCACGTAGATATGCCAGAGTACATGATCCCCTCCCTAGGTTTGTTTATTTGTTTTATTTTCTAAAGCCCGCTGAAACGTCGAGCCGAGAAGAGGCCCCTGCTGCTTACTTTTTTTTTGCATCAGATTTTATTAGCGTCTGCAGCTGTTAAGGGCGAAGAGAATTACGGACACTGCACGTATACAGTACCGCAAAGTATTAATATTTTTCTGTAGAGATTAACTGCAGGAAATCCGTCACATTAGATATGCCCTCTGCAGCTACCAGTGATCTAGATTCCTGACACGTATTCCTTCGCTACCGAGTGATCTGTTTCCCAGCCTCAGCAAAACTAAAATGTCCTCTATAGTTATAGGCTCAGATAGGACTATAAGTTAAATCTAATCTAATCAGTATAATTAACTAAGTGATTCGAGTCGTGAGAAACGAGCCTAAGTGGGATCACGTGATTAACGCCATTAAACAAGGCTGGGCCTGAAAAATAGCCCAGCCTAATCGGACGAGGGTGGAGGTCAACAGGGAGTGTGGGTTGACCTGCGCAGAGAATGGCGCCGAGCAAGTATCTTACCACCACAAATAAGAGCCTAACAAACTGCGGGAAGTAGCTATGTGAATGCACCTCCTTTATATGTTAAATAGTTTAATTTTGTTTTTTTGCTTTCCTTCAAAAAACATGTAGAAGCCCAGAGATTAAATCCTGGCGTCTTTTGTCTCAGTAGGGACTTAATAGGGTTACTCGCTTGACGCGTGATCCGCCAGACGTTAAATAAAGATAAATAAAAAATAAATCGGACGAGGCACAGCCCGTAACAGCAGCTATATAGTAATGACTCAACATCAGAGAAAAAGTGCCGAAAAGGTGACTCAATATGTAAGAACAGCACTCGTGCGCCGGATTTCATTAGCAGGTACCACTGCGAAGTATTGGTGGCTTGCTTGTTAAGCTCAGCTATGTAGTATGGTAGATCTAGTAGTTGGTGCATATGTAGTTGTTATGGCATTATGGTGCATGAAGGAGATCCAGTCGATACATAACAGCATTACATGTAGTGCTATGTGCAGTTTGAGAGATGGGTTGTTGATGATGGACCAATGTCATTGCT